CTCGTGGAACTTACTTTCGAATTCTTGATTTCATTTATAACCTAGCATTTCTGTTATGCCTCATCATCTTTTACTCTACTTAGTGTTGAACCTGTTCTTTTTCAGAACTTTTGAGCTCTCCCTTCAGCTATCCGACGAAACTGGTCAGGCCAAGGAACTTAATATGGGATACATCCGCTGTTCTGTCTGTTTATCTAAGTCATCTCGACCGCAGAATGACGTTTTGCACTCAAGCTCGCTGTATTTAAGGGATAGCGTCCTTGAAGCGGATTCATGTAGGGAGCCTTCGGTTTACGAGAAAAAAGTGAGATCTTATATTTTTCTTGCTTCTTTTTGTGGAGATAGATCAAATTTAATTCTTAATTGCTGGTAAGAAAATCAAGTCTAGCATGAGTGCAGTCTCATTTTGTTGTATAGGATAAATTTAAATTTGTTTTCACAACTTGGTTTTATCATCTGCGCAGGGAGAAGTAGAGGAAGGCATATTGTCCAAAGTCTAAAGTTTCCATGGGTTCAATGAGACTGAAGTACATATGGTAACAAAGTCTTAAGTTAAAGTGTAGAACACAACGTCTCAGTCAGCACGTCGAGCAGTGCTTGAGTAAAATCACTAAACAAGGAGATTATGAGATGGATAATACGAAGCAAGAGGAAGACTCTAAAGGTACCTGCATGAAGATAATTGCGGACTAAAAAACAGACTTGGATCAACACTCAGCATAGTAGTGGGGATGAGGGAACCAGGGGGAAATGTACATAATTCTTGCTATTTTCGCCCAAAGGGATATGTCAGAATCAGGTTTAAATAAGCAAGTAAGAAATGGTGGTATTCAAAGATGAATACGAGCATATGGGATAAATAAATTCACCAGTTCAAAAGAAAAGAGACCACAACAGTTTAGCAGACAATTAGCCAAAGGGCTGACTTCTGTTGTCTCAGCAAGTTGTAGTGTGCTTCTAAAAATGGCAAGACTCACTGACGATTTCGACTACAATGCAGGTAAAACATTTGGGAATGTACGTAGTTCGAAGTCGGACTGAAAATTATCATGGATACTATTGAGTCCGGACAAGGTAATTTCCCTTGGGTCTCCCAGATACTACTACAAGGGTTAACCAGGGTTAGCAATGTTAAACCCCTTAATTCGCAATAATTTATTTTTTCGGCACCAATTTCAGATTTCAGGTAAAATTTTAAAAATCTATTGATTTAAGAATTCAGTAGAGGTGACTATTATGGAGAATCTCGGTATTTTAGAAAGTGCCATGTCATAAAGTATCTTTTATCTCCTATGCTATTTAAGCTGCTACGGTGAAAATTATTTGAAGCCGTCAAGATATTAGGAAAACATATATTGAATGAGATATACTAACGTATATGAGATGTGTTAGCTCTAATTCGTTCAAGGTGATGAAGTACTGATGGCTGAATTTTCCCATGACGAATTGAATAGACATTACGTTTACATTTGCTTTCACATATCCTTGTTTCTAAAAAGTTATTCTCATCCATGGTAGACTGCAGTTTAGACCTCGCTTAGGCCTCATTTATGCCCCAAGCGCTACGCCACTCTGTCATGCGTACTCTTGGGTCACAGTAAAAATGTGAAAGTATAAGGTCTACTCATATTATTGTGGGAAAATTCAGCTGTTAGTTCTTCATATTGGTCGTACACATCTCATATATATGCTTTACTGGTAGTCTCAAAACCCTAACTATAAATGAAAAATAAGTAATGTAATAGATTTCTACAAATATAACGTTGATTCATTGGCTATCGCATGACATAATGTTATATGGGAAAATGCCTGGCCTTCATTGAAATTCGCATCTGCCCTATCACCCAAGGCTATTTGTCGCAATGCCGCATAGTAGTAAAGGTTCGAGATAGTACATTGCACTGTCATGACTTGAGTCGCGCAAGGGATGCTTGTAGGACATAGGCGAGGTCTAAACTGCAGTCCAACTCGGTTGAGAATACATTGGGGGAGCAAGACTATGTGAAATTCAACGGAAACGTAAGGCATAGTTATATCATTGTGGGAAAATTCGACTACCAGTCCATTATCACTTTAAACCAAATGGGATGTACACATCTCATACTTATGATTTATTGGTAGCCTCGAAACATTACTTATAAACGATAAATATAATAACATTTTTTACCATCTTCTATACTAGTTATTTTTTATGGGAAATTTGCGTTAGGTGGATCTAAGCTATGCAATACTCTATGCATGCTATATACATTGCATTGAAGATTTCTTAAGAAATCCCCTACTTGTGATTCTTAGGAATAGGCTATATTGAGACTGCGACCACAAAAAAGACCACACCATTTTGTTCTTCATACTTTCGATTATATTAAGTAATGCTTGTACCAATCACATATAAGCCACCGTAGTATATAGTCAAAATTTTACTGTATAATTCGTAGATATGAAGACCGAGATGGTGTGGCCTTCTCTTTGCTCGCAGTCTCATTTAGCTTAATGTAGTTGGTACGACCCTATTTACGCAACTTAGTCGGAGCATCAGAGAGACCTTGTGGAACGTACATAGTCCCGTGTCCTCTGCCATAGGATTCCTGTTTTCCGGTATTGAATCATTGGCTGGATACATTCCCAAAAGTTTCGCCGGCATCGTCAGTGAGAGACATTATCACAAACACAGAGTTACAATTTATTAAATTGACAAGTGAAGGCAATCCACTTGACCAATTTTCTGTTCAACCGCTGTGGCATTACTCCTTGTCCCTATTTTTGTTCTAACCTCTAGTACCACAAATTTTTCTCTCACTCTCACTTCATATGGCCCATCCTCTTATTCGCAAAATTGTGTTTGCTGGTTTCCTACAATGTCGCCTCATAGTGTGTCGCTATAAGTGGGTTTAGCGAAGCGTAATCATCTCCACCAACGCTACCAGATATCGTTTGAGGGGCTCCTAACCTACATTCTGCGTCTCATTTTTCTACCCACTTGTCAATTGGCCGCTGCTAAACATCAAAATCACTGTTCGGCTATCTGAAATCTGGCTGCCTAAGAGACTTCAATTCCCGTTCTCGATTACGCCATATTCGGTTATTTAGAGCAGATTATCTACATGTCCGTGCCAGTGCCTGGGAATCTTCCTATTCCTAGGCTTTAAACCCAATTTTGCTATTTGATGAAAAAATATTATTCCGATAAAGTCATTATTATATTATGTCATGCTACTTTGCACAAATTTAAATGAGAAATATGATAGGAAGAGGGGAAAAGTTTTTAGATATTAAATCTAGATTCAGGCATGATTTGAGTCAGATTCTCACTTCATAGGATTTCCTGAAACTACAGAGAATGGCAGAAAAAATGTCGAAAAGAATATCGGACTTACTAAAAAAGGGCACCAAAAGAAGCTAAATAAATATGGGATCTATAGACAGCCCAAGGTCCAACCATCCGGCAATAATGGATATGCGTCTAGCATGACAGATCTCACAGTCCAAATAAGAAATGAAGATAAAGGAGCCAATCTTTCTTCCACCCTTTATCTGGATACCACAGAGGTCCTCCAAAAGTGACTAAATTTTGCACTTAGGAATTAAAGGAAAGCAATCAAGGACATTTTAATGAAGGCGATAAATACATCTTAGACTCTACCTGAAAAATCCAAAATAGAGCTATAAATCAAAGGCCCATCAAAGGCGCATCAAAGGCCCACACATAAGGATAATATAACCAAGATATATAGAGAATTGAAAAGAAATGATCAAATAATCCTACAAGTCGACAAAGGAGGTGCCACAGTGGTGATGGACAGGAAGGAATATGCAGATAAAATGGAAAATATTCTCGGGGACACTATAACGCATCGATCCAAAGGTAAAAATCAAAGGGGCACTGCAAAAATGCTGAAATAAATGAATATAAATGGGGAAATTGACAAATGGACAATCAGCTAACTCATACGAAAGGATGCATGAGCCCCAATAACATACGGTTTGCCGCAAGTAACCAAAGAGAGAAAACCATTGAGATTGATAATTAACAACAAACGAAATATAAATTGGCGAAGCTTATCGAATACAGTTAAGAACCTATACGAATTTTGTTAAAGAATGATAGGAGGGAAAACAAGTTTTGGTGAACTTTGATGTACACCTACATTGCATGAGACAAAGAACTCACTTCACTGCCGGAGATTTCAGAAGATGACAACCTGGAGACGTAGCGAATCCGCAAAGTCTCTATGGTTTACCTGTTTGCTAAGAAATAGTTAATTGGAGATCCTATGCTAACTTATGGAACCTCTTAAACCTTTCATACATTTTCGATTAGTCGGTGTTGTTTATTTATTCATAAGTGAGAAGTATATTTTAATAGGTATTGCCATTATGATACTTATATTGTCTTTTAGTTTTACTAATTTTGTTATTATTGATGTTCCATGCGCCATTAAGTTTGTTTTTCTGCCATCCATTTGAAGAAATCAAGATACGCTTTGCAATCCAGAAAAGACTTCAGCCGCCTCTTCAAACGACCTTCATCTAATAATCAGCCCGTACATATTCCTTCACCTCCCTATTCCGTTGACACCTTAAACAATCCACTGAGTGCATGGCATCGACTTGGACATGCTGTTTCGGTGGACAATCTCTCTCTTCTTGACCTCAACACGACTTCTGCGAACTTCGGCCTCCATCTATCATCATTGGCTGTACCTGACGCTATCTCATCTTCTGGAGTTGATATAGGTTCGGGAAAGCAGGGCACATGTCGGATACCAAATTTGATAAGTTGTTGGCCTCAGCTTGACTGGCCTACTTCGTTTTATTTCTCCAGTGCTTTGCAGTTGCCACATTCGCTCAAAAAGGCATCTGCAGATACCGGAACGCCTGGAAATCTTGAGGACTTGGTCAGTTTTACTGCACTTGTCACTATTGGTAGTCTTGTCTTTGCATTTATTTCCCCTATTTTTATGAATACTATTTTATATTTTTCCAGTATCCCATCTTTACAATTCGTCATTCCTCCATAATTTTTATATATGCCTTTACCACTGAAGATAAATTTATCTTACTTACTAGGCTTTGAAGCCTACCAAAAGTTGTATTTAAAAAGTGCTGGATTAAGGCAAAATCTATTTTTGGAAATAACCATGCCTAACATACTTAAAATTAATAATCACCTTAACTTAATAGAGATACCGAAATTTATCCTATAATTTAACCTACCAGATGAAATTTAATAAAGTACAATCTTTATATATATATATGTATATATATATGTGTGTGTGTGTGTGTATGTGTGTTTGTGTCTGTGTCTGTACTGGTGTGTCGGGTCTTTACAGACTCGGTATCTAATTAAGCTAGGTTTGGCTATTTCTAAGCATTTGCAACTCTGGAATAATTTTTAATAAGAGAAAATTTTGAAGATGTGAAGACAAAGATGTTGTGGCCTCGGGTA